ATTAGATATGGGTCCAGTTGAACCTAGTACTTCAATATCACAACAACAGCAACAGCAGCAACAACAACAACAGCAAGCACAAAAACCAAAACGAAGATCTCGTTCCAATGAAAGAAATTCTCATGAAAATAATCGACAAAAATCTCGACGAAATGCTCGTTCAAGAAGTGGAGACCGTGAATCGTCATCCTCAAGCAGTGGTATATATCTATTCTAAATAGTTTTCTATTTTCTATTAATTTTTTTTTTGAAGATAATAATCGTGAAGATGATCATGGAAGTATGGATGATGATGAAGATGATGATGATGCAAGTATTAGTGATCGAAGTTCACGAGGAAGTTCATCAATGAAACAAACTACTGGAATTCGATGGGATTATCGAGTAACTCAAAGATGATTTTTTTTATATAAAAGATTATAAGATTTTTTTTTATAGATGAATCATGTTGGAAGAAGAATAAAAGAAACAAAAGCATTCTGTTGTCTTAATTGTCGATATCCAGTTTTACTTGTTGGACGATTAGTAAGATATTTAAGACAAAAACAATATATATTCTAATTTCTATTATAGTTGCCTTGTAAACATGCAGCTTTTTGTTTACAATGTGCTAATGAATGTAAAAATGATCGTCGAAATTGTCCAAAGTAAATAATTTAATTTTTTTCTTTAAAATAATTTTTATTTTACTATCAAAGATGTAATGATGCAATAACTGATGTAGAGAAAATAGAAGCAAAAAATCTTATACTTTGTTTTCATGGTTCACATCCACATTCTCAAGATGCTTGCCTTCGAGGATATACTTCACAACGTGATCTTCAAGCACATGTTAAACGACGTCATGAGCAAACAACACAACCAGGACAAACACGTCTTGATTCTCCACATCAATTACTTCCTCCTACAACTGCTTTTCCTGGTCTTGTAGTTGATCCACAACAGCAGCAACAACAACAACAACAATCTCAAGGTCCTCCACCATTAATGCCGTTTCCACCAATGAATGTTTCAGCAATGGCACCACCACCACCTCTATTCGATATGGGATTTCGTCCACAAAATTATGGACTTACACCACAACAATTTGTGCCACCTCAACAGCAATATCGACCACCACCTTATCCACCTAATCGACAATTTTACTAGTCGTTTTGCTTATGTATATAAAACAATAAGTTTCTATTTCATTCTCAAATAAATTACAAAAAAAAGTTCTGTATTACACTCGAGAGCAAAAATTAGATTTTATTTTGAAAAACTTTTTACATTCGTAATGAAATAATTGAAAATATAGTTGAATAAGTATGAAATAAATCTTTCAATGATTCTTTAGTAGTTCTTTGTTGTTGTTGTGAAGCCTCATTATCATTGAGGAGATAATCATGTCCAAGTTCACCATTTCCAAATATTCCAATTAATGATGTATTTGGAAAGAGTTTTTGAAATTCTGAACATTCAACATTCGATTCTTGATGATAAAAATCGACACCACGACCAACACAACTAACTTGTATACCAAATGATAGATAACATTGCTCATTTTCTATAGATTTTAATTCTTTTAATTTATCTCTTACAGCTTCACGTGTTTGTATATGACTTTTTAATACAACTTGTCGAATATTTAAATGAGTTCTATCACCTGTTAAAACAAGTCCACATGCATTATTTAATAATGTTTTATGTTTCGATTGTCGATCATCATAACGACTTCTGTTGATATAACCTCCAATAATGACTACTTCGGATGAATAATATTCAAGTAATTTCTTAATACAATTATTCATTTGAGTTTGAAGTAAACGTGGAGTATAGAAAAGTATAACACATCGAATGGATATATCATCAGGTACACATCCAAGAAGTTGATGTAAATCTGAACGAGACATGTTATTAGATATTGGTGTTTTATTTGTAATTTCAAATGGATAAATTCCAAGAATATTCGGTGGAAATTTAGGAAGAAGTAGAATACCCACAGCATCATCTAAATAATAGATAAGAAATTTATTAGATTCTTCTAGGGATACATTTATTTTTATTTACTTAATTCAATTTCATTGGATTGATTCTTATCATTTGATGCAATAATTCCATCAGAAACAACTGTAAGAACTTTACATGATTTATTTACATGATGTATTAATGCTTCTGATATATTATGACGTTCTGTTTGACTAGCTGTTGTTTGTGAATGAGATCGTCTTGGATATTTTGCTGGTCGTAATGAACAATCTGATGATGAATGAAAACCTTTTCTATCTAAACTATTCGTCGTAACAACTAATGCTAGATATGGTATTGACCAAAGATGAATGTGTATATAGCATGAAATAAATGTATCAAAATCAGATAGAAGATAAGAAGAATCTGCTATTGTTGACAATGGATCAGTTGGATAAGTTAATGAATGAATTGTATGACGATGTGTTTTGATTAAATGACCTACATGAGCCCATGATTTACAAACTAAAGAGCATAAATCGATTGAATGAATAGGTAAATGACGAAAAATTGCTCGATTTACATCGTAAATTGTTGTTAACACATCATTCGATGATAAAGATTCAATCTTGTTATCTTCTTCCAAATTTTGTTCAGTCATCTTTAATGATTTGAATGTTGATGAACAAAAAGCATTTCTCAAATTTAACGTAATTCTATTCGTTCTTCTTTCTTCTGTTTCTAACCTAACCACTTTTTTTTATTTAGTTCTGTTCTCGTTCACTCATTGTTATTCATAGATGGCGTTCAGAAAAAGTGCAAGATTTTTATTTCTTGTATAAAATATAGAAGAATTATAATTCTTAAAAAGATAAAAGTTATATTTAAAATTTGTTTTTATTGAAAAATCTTCGTAGCAGCCTTCTTCTTGTCACATATAATTTTCCAAAAACCTTCGTCACGTTCTGCAGATGATTCTTCGGGATCAACACGACATTTCAAAGGGATTTCTATTTTAAATTTTCCCATAGGAATTTTTTCTTGATGAGTTGTTGGATTTATTAATAATTTTTTAAAATCATCACGACAACCATCGATAATAATTGCTTCTTCAAGAATTTCAATACGTGATTCACCTTTTTTAAAACCTGCAAGTTCAACAATAGCATATATTTTTTCATCAGTCTCATACAAATTATAAATAGGTTGCCATTGTCCATTATCTTGTGAACCAATACCTATAAAATAACCCGCATCATCATAAAAAAGTTTTGGTGAGAGTTTCAATGGATAAGGATTTTGTTCAAGATCTTCTAATTCTCTTCGTTGAGCCAGTACAATATGAGGTTTTCTAATATGCATTTGTACTTGTAATTTCTGTGTATTATTATCGATAAATAATTGTGGAAGTTTCGTATTAACAAAATTTATCATTTCATTAATAACATCAAGATCTCTTCTACAATCTTGCGCTGTTTGTAAAATATTCATTATACCATCAATAGATTGTCTATTCCCATCTTTCCTGCTTCAAATCCATCTCTTGCAAAAATGAAATGACGAAGTGTGATACCATTTTGTTTCGAATGAAAAAATTTGATATCATTCGACATATTATTAACTTGTAATTTCATTATATCAGGTTTAGCACCAAAAAGTGATTCAACTTCTTCTTTTATTATTTTATTTACATCTTCAATTGTTTGTACATCCATTAAATTGTGAACAATAATTATGTTTTTATTTGAATTAGAATTTTCACAATGTTTTAAAACTTGTTGAATATATGATTGATTTGTAGCACGTAAACGATTAACAACAATAATGATGTATGAACATAAGTAAAGAGCTATTTCTCTTAGAAGAGCTTCTGTAGCTTTTTTATCATCAAGTTTATCTCTTGGTATGGGAGTATCAGTACCAGCAGTATCAATAAAAATTATATTTTCAGCTAAATCTCGTCCTGCTGTGATAGAGATACCTTCTGTATGTATTAAATTACCATTAGGTAATTCAATATTACAAAATTGATTAAGTAAAAATGACTTGCCACGATTATATGAACCAACAACTGAAACGATTACACCATGGTTATCTGCAGGTGTTGATAGTTCTGATATAGAATCCTTTGTATTTTGTCCAAGTATAATATCCCAACTAGTTGTTTGTAATGCAGCAATACTATTAATACGAATAATAATATCATATGGTGTAACAAAATTAGTTTCTTGTTTAATACCATCACGAAGTTTTTCTAAACGTTTAAGAATAGGACGTAATGCTGCCATACTAAATATGAAATAAAAATACTATAAAGATTAAAATTTGAATTTTACCCATCCTGAGGGTGTGGGTGTGGGTATTATCTTCGTCGTACCTTTTCTGTTGGAAAACAAGTCACGCTTTTTTTCTTCAAATTCAGAAACAATCAAAATATACTATTGTATGCAAAAAATTCTAAATTCTTTATAACATATCCTTTTATTTAACACCAATTAAGAATTAGTATTTGTACATGTAGTAGAAGTTCTGTTAAATTTCAGCACTCGATGTGATACGTCAAGAACATATAGGTTTCCCAATCTATCAAATGCCATTGCATCCAGTAAAGAATCTGGTATTGTCTTGTCTTCACGAGCACGGTGGTCTTTCAAAATCGTTACATTAAATTTACCATCTGACGTCAATAGACTTATTTTCTCAGTGGTAGCTAAAATAATATTGCCAGTTTTATCCGCAATCAGTGCCCAGCCATAGTTAGACGTTGACTGTACATCAGAAAATATTTCTTTCTTAGTTGTTCCATCAAAAATAACTGTTCCTGTTGTCGAACTGTTGGTAAATTTTAGAATGCGAGGACCGATTGGATCTATTAAATATATTATATTATCAATTTCATCGACTGCCAAAGCATTTTTTACTCCTGCCACACCAGAAGTTAAGCCAGATCCATATCCATCTGCGACTAAAATTCCAGTAGGATTATTAACTGTCCATTTAACGACATGACTTCTGACACGAAATAATACGAATATATCCCCACCTGAATTAACATATAATCCGTCACATAATGATTCTATACGATACTGACCAATTCCAGACATTGTATTATTAAGAACATTCCTTGGTTTAGAATGGTCACCATCAAGTCTGTAGATACCTGAGTATCCATCCCACGTGTAACAAAAGTACACGGATTGAGATAATGAATGATAGAACAAAGGAGTATCACCAAAGTTTCCGTCAAAATATCGTTGAATTAATTTATTGCTGGATGACCATTTTTCTAAACTTTGGCGAGCTCTATTTGTAACGTATACATTAGAATCATCATCGACAGTGAAACTTCTGTAATTCCCTTGACTTATTATTTCATCACCTATCGATTCCCATCCGACTGGAAAACAATATTCCGATGCTAAATAAAAATTTCCTTATTTTCAAAACAAAAGAAAAAATCTTCATACATGGCGCTTCTGATCCATTCGTTCTGATATAAGTAGAAATTGATGGAATTATCGGTTTTGATGAAGTTGTCAGTATCGATGGTTCAGTTCGTTTTGATGCTAGTAATATCAAAATTAAAATATATTTTTGTAGCAAGATATCTTACCAGAAGTTTCAGTTTTTAATGTGGAATGACGTCCTAAAGTAAGATGGTAATATTTTCAAAGATCGATGAAAGTGATTATATAGTACCTGTTGTTGTGCTAAATGTCGTGCAATCTAAACCGACACAGTTGTCTAAACTCGAGGTTTTATCTTTTAATTTCATATTGATACCAAAAATTACTCCTAATGTCAAAATCATGATAAAAAACATGATAGCAAATGCTCTAATAATATATCGCTTTCGACAGTATTGATTTATACTATCGAAGAAATGTTTCTTTTCCTCTTGAATTATTTCAATCTTCATCTGTTCTAAAATATTTACTGCATCTTCATCTACTGCACTCATCATAATTTTTGATATTTGATTTTCTTCATCATTTAGAATACCATCGATTCTGAATATAGAACAAAGACTAAATAAAAATTCTTTTTCATCCTCTATGTCTGAAAGTTGCGTAATATCAGCAAAAACAACATTTTTCAAATTATAATTAGTTTGAATTTCATATATGACAGATTTATCTTCAGTTGACTCAGATCCTGAAAATAATACTGCAACATTGTAATCACTTGTAGTTGATAGAAATCCATTGAATGATATTAAATTACCAATATTCTCTTTGATGTTTTCAAATTGATCCATAGGCATATTCCCATGTCCACGAAACACTGTTAGCAATGTGTCTGATTGATTTTGTTTATGTAAATGTTCTAATTGTTTACATAAATCTTTAATATAAGGTCGAAATACATTTATCTGTTCCATATCTAGGGATCTCAATGCTTTATTGACCAGTCGATAAAGAAAACTATCTCTTGTGTACCAATTAATCGCTGTTGCAGATGTATAGCTATTTCTAAATTCTTCAATCTTCCTTCTCTGAGCGTTATCCTTCCGATAGCGTTTTATGCATTCATCAAGCATCTTTTCTCTGTTATTTGATGACCATGGATAATGTTTTAAGATTTCAATATATTGTTTATATAAATTAAAGTCTTGATTATTATTTTTGAGACTAAATATAGGTTGTAAATTTCGATCCATAAGAAGAAAATCTGTCGATGGATGTAATTCATTTTCAATTGATTCCTTTAGTGATTGTTCATCAGTACAAATATCCATTATTTTTCGACATTCTGTCAGTAAATATTGACAATTAGTAGAATCTTTGCAAAATATAAGTATTGACGATATTTCTCGTAATAATGATACAGATAATTCAGGAAGTAGATTTTCCGCAAAACTTCCCGAAGTAATAACTATAAGTTTCGTTATTTTAGGCATACTTCCGATCTCTGCAAGAAATGTTTCCAAATTGTTGTACAGTTTGTAGTTAACATCTGCTATACTGTTAAACATATTGGTAATCATTATATTATCAAGTGAAGTTGGATTCAATGCTTCTTCATCTAACCATATTAAAGTATTATTGGTAACGTTGTGGCTTGTTGTAGTAGTTGCTATATTGAGATCTTCATCTTTTAATGGATGATATGTATAATTATTTCTTTTCATCGTTGATATAATTTATCAAGAATATTAAAAATCAATGTAATAATAATCTAAAATATTTGATAAAAATAAAAAGTGAGAAGCATTGATATGTTTCTTTTCTTTAGTACGATACTTCTCTTCTTATTATTCTTATTTTTTATTCAAGCAAAGCATTATTTATCTTACGTTTCTATTGAAAAAATAATAGGTGTTTCAAATGTACTTTTAGCTATTTTTTATGTATACAAGAAAAATCGCCCATTTATCAAAAAAAAAGAAGAGAACGAAAATGATGCGCCGTCAGTTACACTATTTTGACGAGATAGATTCTACATCAGTATTTTTCTTTGATAATCGAACACGTTTTCATATCAACAAATATTAGTATGGTAATGAAAAAAATATGTTAACCGTTGTTTACATTAGAAGAAAAAGAAAAAAAATCAATCATCACAAACGATGTGTAGTTTTACATTTTAATGAGTAGAGCTTTCGAAGAGATAGAGTACTTTTTATACATCTTTTTAGAAATTAAAGAACAGAGATACCTCATAATAAGTGGGTGTGGGTGTGAGTGTCTATCATTCTGTTCTTTTGTATTTCTCCGAAAGGAAACAATGTCCCGTTGACTCAATTATATGATACAAATATTATAAAGTCGCTGACTGATTTTATACGCAGTATTGGTATAGTTCAAGAATATTTTTCAGAGAGAAAAAGTAGCAAATATTAATCTTAAACTAATTTTTCAACAAAAATTTGAATTGTAATACTATATATTTAGGTCACAAACAGAAATGTTTAATGATCGACATAAAAGATTATGGTTTTCTAGATACACAAACATTTTGTGTCATTGAATTCTGTATTTAATCCATAAAAGATAACTTTCGAATCAAAACCACTTTCAATCACTATGATCCATTTCAAGATTTGAGATGGACTTTTAATACAGAATTCGTCATAGCGTGGATCAGAATGACAGAAATAACTTGTATCATGTGTAGACCACCAATCATTTTTGCCACGATATCAGTGTCTTTCTTCTGGATTTAATTCCAGTACGTATAAAAGCACCATGACGATTCGCTTATCGTCCTGTTCCTTCTCTTGATTGAGCAATTAGCATAGCTGACTTGGGATCAGTTTGATGAAATCCAATATAAAGATTTTTTCCAGGCATTGTTTGTTCAAGATCAAAATAACGTGGTTGTGGATTACAACCTTTGAAATGAAATATAAAAATATATTCCAAATCACGATTTTTACATTGAGAACCTTTCGAACAAGCTTTATCACCAAAACGCATAGTGCGATTGTCGCCCAATAATGTATAAGGAATAAATCGGTTATGTTTAGATGATAATGGTTTATCTGGTATTTCGAAATCTTTCTCGATTAAATGTGGCTTATAATGCCACCATACACGATAATGATATAGCAACAATAACAGCCAGACTTTTTATTGTTATATTATGTTGAATAGCTAAACAGTACGCTATCATTGCAATACGAACACACGATACTAATATAATAAATATGAATTGTAATTTAAAACGTAATCTGGTACGTGCACGATAACAAACACGGACACACACCTATGGGAATTATGAATAGAGAAAGTACAAAGATGGATAAGATTATTGTTTGAATTGCACCAATAAAAAAGAGTGTAACAATAATAATCATATTCATAGAACCGATTGTTTCCAACTGATTATTGTCTGGATGTTCACCTTTGAAAAATAGATCTTGATGGCTCGTACTAATAAGCATGAATAATGTTATAGTTAATACTGTTTCAAATATGATAATTAGACTATGAAAATAAACACATGAACGATAAAAACAAGAATTAGAGCACATCTTTTTTCTATCCTAACGGTTGAAATCTACAAGATTTTACTATGTCCCTTTACAATAACAAATGGCTTATCTATTGATTTATGAATAGAAAGAGAACGAAACCCTTTTATTATCAGAGTAAAAGAAATACATTGTTTGCCATGGATAAAGTATTCGTTTTCTACGAAAAACAATAGTATTTACATGACTTTTCTCAATTCCAATTAAACAAAGTGTTCGTCTATGATCAGCAGTGGATATTTTTGATACTATTTCTAAGACAGGTTCAAGAGTACTAGTAATAATGTTGAGATCATGCAGATATCATCAGATTCCGCATCCTCATTTTGAGTAACTGCATTTATTAATCAAGTCATAAAAGGCTAAACCGATCGTAATATTCAAAATTATCTGACATGAGAGGAATATTTGTCTTTCTTGGATTCTTCTGTTATTTTCTCTATACAACTATATGTCTGTGAAATATAATCAAAAACAAATATTTATTCACTTCAAAATACCTTTAAGAGATAAAGAATTTTTCTGGCTTGCACCTTTTTACAATCTCTTTTATTTATTGTATGTATAGAAATGGCTGAATGTGAGCATTTACGCGTTGGTCGAGAATTTTTAGAAAGTGTTTCATGGCCTTCCGCATTTCGCCAAAAAGCTCATGATCGATGCTATTGTGAACGATGTTATCCGCCGCATTTGGAAGATACAATGAATGTAGCTAATTACACATATGTCATACCACGTGGATGGACTCGGTTTGCTATATCGGTTGATGAAGGCTTTTTTAACCATCACGATGTATGGGATAAATGGCTTAATTGTTATCATGGAACATCTATTGAGAATGCCAAATCTTGTGTTGTACATCGACAATTACTTTTACCTAATGATACTACCATGCATGGCAAGAAACTGGAAATACGAGAAGGTCATATTAAAGGAGAACATTATGTATTTACAACACCGTCGATTACTTATGCTGCACTTGTTTACTATGCTCATACATATCACTTTCAATCACCTTATAATTCGCAAATCTATACTATAAAAGTGGTATTGCAATGTAAACAAAAGCCTGATTCTATTATTGTTCAGCCGGAAACTGTTGACGCACGTCGACAAGGAATAAAAATATGTCGTTACATCCCAAATGACAAATTAGAATGGAAAACACAGAATCGTTCAAGTGTTACGATTTATGGACTACTACTCGAGGTAAAACAATATCATGTACACGATCATTCAAATTCATTTCAATATCAACAAATACGCAACACTCAGAGTATGTGTAAATCAGTTTCACTTGATTCATAACATCATAAATTCTATGACACGGTTTAAGCTATCGTATCTTTTGTTCGATAGATGTGTCCTATGAGCCAGCAATAATTTCACAAACGCCATCACCACCACCATTTAAAACAAAAGTTAGTACTATATCCAACTCAGAAAACATATCTTCACCTACTACAGAGAAGACTCATCGAGAATCAATGTCAAAAAAGCGAATAGCATTGTTAATCCTACTAGTCATAGCAACTATTCTACCAATATCTGCTCTAATCTTTGGCCAGGTATACAAAAATGATTGTCCAATTCAACCTTGGATTCCACGATGGATGACTATTTTTGGAGCCGTAGGTTTGGCTACCTTTGGTTTGCTTTTTATTATAGTAAAGCTTTTATCTATCTATTTTTAAAAATCATACGATTTTTTTAGTTGCTTATAACGTTTAAAAGTTGCTCTGATGATATTAATATTGGAGGTTGTATCAGTGGTTGTGTCTCATGTTTATTAGTATTCTTCTTTCTCGGATGGTTAATAACGGTAAAATGCGCACGACATGTTATTACTATAAGTGTTATTTTGATTTTAATAGGGAAGTGTATGGGTATTTCCTGCGAACTCGAAAGTTCAATACAATCAATACAATGAAACAAATTACTGTCAAGAAAATCTATATAAGTTCACATTCGGGTTATTGCTCGCACAATATTCGCTGATTGGTCTTGTCATATGCTGTGGTGGTATTCTAGCCTTATTGGGTTTATGCCTTGGCTAATAGTATTAGAAATTATAAAACACATAGAAATAAAATTTGATTCATATTATCTGTATTAAAATACATCTAGAGGTTCACAGCAGTAGATGTGTCGTTAAAAGTGTCATATTAATATTTTAAATATTTTCACGTATTCCTATAGAATTGAATAAACAATAGTACCGTATTGATTTTCGCAATTCTAGTCGCTGAATACATTCAAAATCATAATTGAGGGTGTTGATGGGTGTAAGAAGATAACGATATCTACACCCACCCACACCTACATTCACTCTCTTTAGGTTGCTTAAAATTTTACTTTGGAATGCTCGCAGTGCATCAGATATGTTGTTTGTTGCTTTGTGTTCTAAAATAATTTTATAATAATCTGGAGTTAAAACTAGAGAAGAGATGACTGTTACTTCTATCCTACTCATTTCACTTTTTCTCCGAATTGAATAATATTTTTATCAGTCTCTTTTGTCGTAGAAACATAAAAGAAAAGCATAAAGCAGATAACGATATTGATGGCAAATAAAAAAAAGAAAATAGAAGTATGTTATCAAAGGTAAGATAGGAATGAAAGAAACCACCAAAAACAAATTCGTTTTATGGTGTTCTTTATTACAAATGGTTGGAAAAAACTCGAGAGGTAGGTGAATGTGGGTATCAGAAGTAGTCTAACACACAACCACATCCACACCCTCAAGATGGTTTTCCTTCAATGATCAAAATAAAGAAAATGTTGAATCTTTCCATTTAAAATTATAATGAAGAAAATTAAGACTACATTAAAAATCTTCGAAATGAAAAATCTAATTGGAATATTGTATCAATTAAAAACTTTTATTATTTCTTCATTTGATTTCAAATTTTTGGTTCATTTTCCTTTTGAAATTCTTTTCTTTTTTCTTTTCATCTATACAAAAGTGCACTTTGATCTATTTCGACAGGTCATTTTTTCAATTCAATTTTGATTAAAAATACTTTAAAAATAAAATTGGAAAATGATAGAATTTGTTAATTTATTAAAGAAGAATCTATTCAACACTTGTTTCGTTCGATAAATTTTAATTCGATTTTTATTATCAATTTTTCGTGAAACATTTCTTTTCCCTGCAACTTTGAACAACTATCAAATTTCATCAAATCGCAAAAACAAAAAACATCTGATTATTTTCATCAAACAAAAATATTCAAATAGAATTTTATCAAAAATAAAATCGTCTTTTTGAATAATTTTTATTTCAGTTCAATTCAAATTACATTTAGTTTTGAAGGAAAAACAACTAAAAAGATTTTTCCTCGTTCTTTTCTTATCAATACATTTCTATTTCTTCAAATTCTATTCGACTTTTTGCATTCATTTTCAATAATAAAACTTTATTTTTTCTTTTCTTTTTATTTCTTGATTATTTATTTAACAAAAAAATTTCATTCACAATATTATTTCAAACTTTTCAATGCGATGATTACAACAATCAGCAACATAAAGATTTCCTTCATCATCGAAAGATAAACCACGGGGACCATCCAATTGATTTCCTTTGCCATTTCCATCGACAACAATTTCACCTTGTTCTTTTCCTTCACACCAACGCATTACCCGATGATTCCCCCAATCTGCTACATAGATTTGGCCCAAATCATCAACAATCACTCCTGTAGGATAAGATAATTGATTAAGATTCCCTCCTTGACCATTTCCTCCAGCCACAATTATTCCTTCTTTTGCATCTTTTCTCCATTTTATCACACGATTATTGTGAAAATCTAATACATAAACAGATTGTTCTTCATCAACAAAGACAAAACCTGGATAATTCAGTTGATTAAGTTGAGTTCCTTTTCCATTTCCACCTGCTACTACAATTCCTTCGTTGTTATATTCACCCATTTTCCATCGTCGCACTTCATTCTTCTCTTGATCGGAAACATAAAGAAACCCATTTTTATCCATTGCCAAACCATAACAGTCAATGTTGTGAATGAGAATTTGTTGATTTTGATTCATCCATTGAATCACCCGTTTGTTTCCATGATCAGCAATGATGATCGAATGATTTTGTTCATCAATAATCACATCTGTTGGCCCATTCAATTGATTCAATCGATTTCCTTGTCCATTTCCACCTGCAATGATTTGCCCTTCCTTTGCATTATATTTCCATTCAACAATACGATGATTATGACCATCAGCAATGAAAATACTTTTCTTCTCATCAATGAAGATTCCTTCAGGGTAACTGCATTGATTTAATTGTTGTCCATATCCATTTTCACCAGCCACAGTTATAGCATTTTGTTTCCACTTGTTGAATTTCGGTTCTAGAAAACAAGGAGAAGAAAATTTGTTTTTGATCGAAGAAAAAAGAAAAGATTAATTTCGATTGAAATTTTGATTTTTGTTTTTTCCTGTTCTATTTATTATCCAGTTAGAAACTATTTGATAAAAGCTTACTTTTTGATGAAACAATTGAAATTTTATTAATAAGTGATTGTAAATCTTGTTTAATAGAAATCTTTAATGGATTATTTAATTCTTCTGTCATTTCTTTTAATTGACTTCTTAAATAATTTAAATGAATTTCATTAAATTCATTTTCTTTTTGTATTTGTTTGATATGTTCATCTGAGTCTTTAAATTTCATTTCAACATCATTAATACATGTTTGTAATGATTTAGTAGCATTTTCTCTGTACTCTTGTGCTTTTTGTTGAATTTTGTCAATTGATTCTATTTCCCATTGATTAATTTGTTCTATTAATAAATGATTCTGTAGATTTTGTTTTTGTTCATTGATTTTTTGTTTAAATTCATTGTATTGATAAGTGATAGAATGTAATTCATTAGTTAATATTTCACAATGTTCTATTAAATCCGTTAAACAAAATTCTTTTGAACATCCTTTGCAATTAAATGTTATTTTTTCTTCATTACATGTATAACATAGTGTTTTGTTATTTGCCATTGCCATGTCTTTGAATAGAAGTTGATAGACGAAATGAATATATTCTTATCTGCTTTTATAGATGTTATAGCCAGTATTAAAATTTGACTAGTCGAAATTGAAATTCTATTTTGCCTAGTCAGAATAGAAATTTCAATTTCGTCTAATATATTCTCAGCCCGAATTGAAATTTCAATTCTGACTAGTCAAATTTGAATTGTGCCAAAATCTCACTGATAAAACTAATATAATATCTAAGATGGTTGGATAAAAGTAGACAATCGATTTTATTTTTATTTGAAATAAAAAATCTACAGCTTTATCTGCCAGATGAATAGTATATCAATCTCTTTTTCATTCATTTTTCGTATTATCTCAATAAACAAACTTACCAAAATGAAAGTATTTCAAAGAATTGAATTTCTAAACTTTTGATGTTTTATTGTAAATATTTCGATATAAATAAGAATTTCGTAAATGTCTCACTTTAAATTCCTTTTTCATCGAAATAAATAAAATATAGTGTTAGAAGGCGCACGTGATACGAAAAAAACGATATATGTGTCTGATTGCTGTTACCTAAGTATTGAGACAGACTGTTGTACATTTATTCATTATTAGATTCTCGTGTCAGTTTTTCCAAAATATAAAGATAGAATAGCTTTAATTTTAACAATGGTCAGATTCAATCATAAAAATGCAAGTATTGTATATTAAGAGATATTCCGAAACTTGTTTTTATATATCTCAGAATAGATTCATATGTGATTCATTATAATAAAGTTTAAATAATAAAAATATCGATATGATCTAAGATTCGATGAAAATGAGATTTCTTAAGATTATTAATATTCTAAAAAATGAATATTTATAAATCAATATGAATAACGATCGAAGAAAAAAAAAGTAAATATTCAAATTGAATATGATGATCATAAGAGAGTAAGTTATGTGATATGTTCTCGTCAAATAATTCGATATATAAAATCAATTTCAGATGTTAATAATTGAATAAAATTTAGTAGATAAATTATAAAATAATAATAAAATATCTTTTAATTTATTAAATCATCAAAAATATGTTAAAGAATTTCGACAAAAAATCTATTGTATCATGAATAATATTTATTTCCATAACAGATTTCAATTCTTATTATTTAGTTTCCTTTATTCAATCATATATGTCGACGTGTTAATATTCCTTTTTGTAATGGAAATTGTTCCATTAGGCATTTTTTCAGCTTCACATGTTGCTAATTTCTTTTTATGATAAGCAGGAAGATCTTCTTTATAATCATAGCTTTCGTTTAGTTTTGCTGAGAGGAGAGAGGGGGGATTCAAGAGAGAAAGTCTCCGAAGTGAAAGAGAAACGTTTTACACGTTCGCGTTTTTATTGCGTTAAAATGTAGTGTTAGATGATGCTTTCGAAACAACGTTATTCAATAGATGGTTATTTTTTCGTTGTTGTTTGTGAAACAGAATTTTTTTAAAGAAGAAATATCGCTGAAATTATTTATCTGTTTTTATCGCTTTTAGAATTTTTTCCTTGAAAATTCTAACAGATATTAGTTTAAATTGAAAGAGGAAATAGCACACATTGCCAGAAATTGTTAGTATGTGGTACAGCACGCAGTTCTCCCTACGTTTATATAGAGAAAACTATTTTGTACTAGAAAATACAACAAGTTTGTTTGTGTACAGCTCGTCGTGCTTACTAAAAGATAAAAAGACGTACGTTTCTAAAATGCTCAGAGAGAAAGCCAATATAAAAAACAGATTAGGGAGAGAAAATACCCTCTTATCCCCTCCCTAATCGTATGGCTTGGACGATACCAATCATAATTTGAAAAGAATGAAACAATTATTAAATTTTTTTAAATAAAATTATCTATAAAACTAATTCTATATTGGATATAAAATAAATGAATAATAGCATTTTTCAAACAAATATGCTGTGAAAAATGAATACGAAACATTTCATCAATGATAAATAAATGATTGTGATTAGAGATGCACCATTTCCAATTCCAATCAGTTTCGATCAAAAATATTCAAAGAACTTTTAAAAAATCATTCTAAATATAGTTCAGATTTATATAATACTTGTTCTAATCATTCAGAACTACTGAAATTTTGTTGAAGATATTTCATTTCTTTTATGTCATTGGGATTTCCAATGCGAATACTAAACGCTATTTTTAGAAAAAAATATCATTTGATCTATTTACATAATTTAACAACTTTCTATAGAGTAATTTAGTGCTATTACAAAAAAAGTATATTTAAATTCCGAAATAATTTTTATTCTTATTTACCTAATGAATAATATAAGAAAAATAAAATTTTGTACTCAGTAATCATGATAACTCGAAGATATTAGCATGAATAATCAAAAGAAACGAAACAAATATTACGTGGAAAATCCCATGTCAAAAAATATTCTACTATTAAAACGTGTCTATAGAGGCATATAAAAGCTCTACTCTTTCGATATTATTTCACTTTTTTTATTATTTGACAAGAAAAATATTAGTTAACCTTTTGATTACGGGGCGTTTTTTAAGGTGAATCTTTTTTTTTCATCCTAAAACAGTTTGAAATAACTTCTATTAACATATAGACGCATTTAAAAGTGGGTTTGGGTATATGTGTGGGGGGTATCTTATATATCTCATCCACACCTCAATTTCAAGTATCTGTCTGGCTAAGAGTATAAAAGGAAATGCATATAAGAATAGTCATACTTAAAGTACACCATTACTTTCACAGAAATTTGCAATTTCTTTTTTCTGCATTCACGCAATACAACAGCGATACAAAGTAGGTACAATAGAATTTTTCTTTAGAATTTATATTGTATTCACTCATATGGTATGAAATTGAGAAATTTTCTCTTTCTTTGAAAATCTATGTTCTTAGTACCACAACAAAACATATGAGTTTTTTTGCTGCCGATAATAAAAGTTAACATACTGCATTATTCATTAAAGTCTGTAAGTATTATGACTTTACTACTAAATGTTATCATAATAATCAGCCACCAAAAGTTTATGGTCTATTAAAGATCTACTTGACTAATGATACATTTCATGTATAAACTAGAAATAAAGTATTAGCACTACAAGATAAGAATTTTGAGAACATTTGTTGTTTGAAAATAGTCTTTTTTTGTATATGATCAGGTGAAAAATATAATTTATTCATCGATAAGGCAAAGAATACCAATGAATTTATATAAAACAAAATTATATCTATTTTGAAATTTTGTGCTTTAAGAATTTTCTTTACCCTTTATTATCTAAATAAAAGTTAAATAACAGATTAGAATTATATAAAGTACAGTTAATAAATATTTTTTTTTGTTGACTGGAATATCTCTTACTATTATATTAGTTCTTTCTGAGCGACAAATATACATGTAAGATATAATCTTTAGTTTGTTAAATCAAGATTGTATAAAAAAGTGTACGTAATATAAATATCAATAAAGTTAAAAATGACTAAATAACACTCGCATACCTAACTACGTTTGCAAACACATTTTAGAATATTTCATGTCTATACAGATAAAATATAACTATCGCTCGGATTTTATAATTTTGTTGTTTCTCAAGATACAAAAATATTCGATTTGGGCGGCATTTTTTCTAACCGTTACTTTATTGTTGGCATTACCCGAGAATGAGTTACATTCTACGCAGTTGTGATATCGCGCTTTACTCGCTTTTTCATTCCTTCTAAATAACGAAAAAGAAACAAAAATAGGTTGGAAAATTCCCGGGACAAAAAGAAAATTGTAATTCTTCTAAGAAGAAATATAAAAATTATGGTATCTGCTTAAGCCACCTTGGGTATGGATGTGAGTGGGTGAGGGCATCTTATTAATCTCACCCACACCCACACCCGTTTTTTTTCATGTTTCTTTTATTTTTTCTTCTTTGCTCTTTTCATTTTTTGTATTATGCTTCTCAATCCACACCGGTAATGGTAAAAGTATGTACCGAAATAAATAAAATAAATAATGAATAATACTCTATAATTAATTCATCGATGAATAGTATTAGGAAGAATGCGATGTCTGGACTCAAATTTATTCATTTTTCAAGAGCATTTGAGAAGATGATTAATCATATTTCTTCCTACTCCCAGACTGTATATAAAGACCATTTCTTCCAAGTGATATTCATTCTCACATCCAATTCAATCAAATACTACAACACAAGTGAGTCAAAACTCTACTATACTTTTCCTATATCTAGATTATTCATTTATATTTTCAATCAACTAATACAACATTCAACATCCTACAGTAATTTGAGTTTTGACTTATCTACGTTCAACTGTAACTTCTAACAGTATAATTGTTATATTTATGATTAATTTTAACTAAATTTCACTTACTTAGTAGACTTTAATTAAATTTGTGATCCTAAAGTAACATGATGTCATATGACAGGATCCCTGAGAAAAGTCTAAACGCGTCATGGCAAACTCATACACTCACCCACCCACCCACGCATCTTTCTTCTGTTTCTGTTCTGCAACTAGGTTTTTTCTCAGTGTGTTTGTTTGTGCTTGCTCTTCAAAATCGACGCAATTCTCACATAACTAGTGTATATTAGCCGCATATATATAAATAGAAGCTCGGAATTTCATTCGATCTTCATTCCGATAGAACGGTAAGTACAGTTAAACTTGTATTATTCTTTCCATTTATTGGACGCATGTTTTTCTAGTGAGTTGTTTGTGAAGCTGAGCCTATAGTACAGACTGCATTTCACAAACAAGTCATATTTATTCCATGTAAGTTGAGGATCAAAACTTATCGCGAAAATAAGTTATCGCTTGTTTTCAAATGGTTTTCACTGAGTTGCAGGTGAAGGTATGGATGTGTGTCATCGATCAGAATAAGTTCATATAAAAGCGCCGAAGTTAAAGTAATATCTGAGCGAGTTTATGTTGAACTTTCCGTCAGATGAGAGTTGATTTGCACAATTTTGTAGCCTATCATGTACCCACATAGTTTCGGCTTTGATGATGACTGTTCGTGATTTTAAAGACAGGTTTCCATGCATTATACTGCTCTTATTTTTCAGTACTGTAGTCTATATGAAGTGGTTTACATAAAACTGTAAATATCGCTTGTGTATAAGAGATTTTTTGCTCATATCTGGAAGTGAAGCATTATTACCATGTTCGTTATACATATTCATTTCAAGTAACAAATGGTGACTTAGCTATGCTGACTCGATTTGTATCTTGAGAGTGAGTTTACAGATGAAAAATAATAATTAAGAGCATCAAAGGACATGTTTCGTCCTTGCTTGAGGGACTCGTGAGTTGGCATAGACTGTACAAGAGGAGATTCTAATTAAACGAATGAAACTATAGGGTATGGGCGTGAGTATAACTTTCTTTCACCCCCACGCACACTGATGCCCACTCACACTCACACCCACCCTCAAAATAGAGAAAGGAACGAATATAATGTATACGTTTTATTATGTTTGTTTTTGTATAAAAAGTTTTTTTTTGTCATCCGAATATTTTGTTTCAGCAGTGAAATGAGTAAATACTTACTGATATAAACACCAAATTTTTAGTATAAATTAATCTCGAGTTTTGTACTATTATCTAGCTATTTAATAACATATTTTATCATATTTAAAGTTTGTAGAAAAAAGTCAAAACTCAAAGGGTTATAATCAAAGTGGAATTAGATACTTGCGTCAATTAACTGATATTTAAAACTTAGAAGGATTTATAAATGGATAGTAAGAGAGCAATAGGTATCGACTTGGGTACAGCATATTCATGTGTTGCTGTATTTCAGCATGATAAGGTTGAAGTAATACCTAATGAACTGATTGAGCGAACAACACCATCGTATGTGACATTTACAAAATATCGACGTTTAGTTGGTAGTGACGCTAAATATCAAGCAGATGCTAATCCAAATGGCACTATTTTTAATGTTAAACGACTTATTGGTCGTAAATATGAGGATGCAGTTGTGCAAAATAATTTAAAACATTGGGCATTTCAAGTAGTCGATGATCTTGGGAAACCAAAAATTATAACTGAATATAAGGATCAACTGAAGTTAATAATACCTGAAGAAGTTTCTGCATTGATATTGAGAAAAATGAAACAAATAGCCGAAGATCATCTTGGTGAACCAGTTACTGACGCTGTTATCACTGTTCCAGCTGCTTTCAACGATTCACAACGTCAAGCAACAAAAGATGCTGCTGTTATTGCTGGTTTAAATGTATTGCGTATTCTCAGTGAACCAGTAGCTGCTGCGATGGCTTATGGTTTACATAATCAAATATCTGGTGAAAGACGGATCTTAATTTTTGATTTGGGTGGTGGTACTACTAATGTATCAGTTGTAATAATCGAGGAAGGAATCTTTGAAGTGAAATCAACATCGGGTGATGTGCAAATCGGAGGTGAAGATTTTGATATTCGAATGGTTACATATTTTATCGAAGAATTTAAACGTAAACATAATAAAGATCCATCAAAAAATAAACATGCTAAGCAACGGTTACGTTCTGCCTGTGAACAAGCTAAAGTAAATCTATTAGAATGCAATTAATGTATTTTCTTTCTTTAGAAAACTTTATCTTCATCAACTCAAGCGTCTATTAACATTGACTTATTCCATGAAAATATTGATTTCAAATCAACAATAACTCGTACCCAATTTGAAGAAATTAATGATGATCTATTTGTTTCTATGCGTACAATTATCGAAACGGCTTTACGCGATGCTAAAATGGACAAATCAAGTATAGATGATATTGTGCTCATTGGTGGTTCATCACGTATTCCAAAAATACGAGACCTTATACGAGAGTTTTTTAATGGTAAACTACTAAATCAATCAATTAATCCAGATGAAGCTGTTGCTTATGGTGCTGCTATTCAAGCAGCTATATTAACAGGCAATAAATCTGAACAACTCAAAGATACTTTTTTATTTGATATTGCTCCATATTCATTAGTAAATTGATCGAAAGCAAAATTCATTTTCTTTTTCTATATGATCTTTTTCAGGGTATTGAAACTAAGGGTGGTCAAATAACAACAATAATTGAGCGAAATACGACAATTCCAACAAAACAGACTAGAACATTCGAAGTTTCTCCATCTTATCAATCTGATAAGATTGTAACAGAATTAATCGAACACGATGAGCGACAACCAAAAATACCAATTACACCATTTTTAAATAAAAAATGTGATGTTGATATCAAAGTATTTGAAGGTCAAGATGGGCTAGCAATAAACAATAATTTACTTGGTTGTTTCACTCTCTCGGATATTTTATTTTCATCTGACGTGGCTCCGCAAATTGAAATAACATTCGATATTGATGCAAATGGGATATTGAATGTTTCAGCTATAGACAAGACTTCACAAAAAGAAAATAAGATGAGAGTTACAAATGATAAAGGTCGATTATCAGAATCGGATATTGAAAGTCTGATTAAAAAGTTGGAAAGATATGATCTCGAAAACAATTAGGATCAAATGAAGTCAAACAAAAGTAGTTTTTTTGTTCTTTTTTTCAGACTGAACCAATAATGAAGTCTTAACGAACTGACATTTTTTTTCATATTGATTAATCAAGACATAAATATATTTTTAAAAATAAACATATAATAAATCTAAAGTTTTAGCCCAAATAAGAGTGAACGTTATAATGATTACTTTCACTTCTTGTCAATTAATTTTTAATTAGTAGAAAAGAGGGTGTGAGTAGGATAAATAAGATGCACTCACCTATCCACATTCATACCCACTTACACTCACATATTTCGAAATGTGAATATTTGTTTTTAGAAACTACTTGTATTATTTCAATTCATTTAATAAATAAAAAAATTACAAAATTCTTCTTCAAATCAATATTTATCGGTTCATCATTTCAACATCTTCAATCACTTTGTTTATCTTCTATGCAGAAAATCCAGATAATAATTATTCGTCGACTTGTTACAATAGATCTATACGTTGAATTTAACAATTGGAAAGAACGTTACAACGAGATTTATTCATCTATTTTGAAATTATCTGTATTAAAATCAAATGCACTTACTTTCCACACAGCTGAACTAACAATTTCTTTCACAATCATTCTTATTATCTTAACGAATTATTGTCTATACTCTCATACACACCTCAATTTCGTATATTATATATTCATGAAGCAATGTTGTTTAATCAATTCTGATAGAATCTACTGTAAAGATGAGTTTTAGAAATCAATCAATCGATTTATTTCATCGTTTTGGACTGAAAGATAATGGACCATTTACTTGGCAATCACTAAAGATTCATATGAAAATAAATGTTTGAAGTATTCAATTCAACCGCATAGATTAGTTGAGAATATTTCAATTCATTACAACAAGATATATCTTCGATCGAGAAGTTCCACTTTGGAACGTTACTCAGATTACGAAATTGTAGTTTTTCCGGATTGTAGTTACGTTCAATCATTGATTGATCTCATTAGTCATTTTTCAAATTCGAATACATTAACAGTGGGATCCGCTTCATTATATATAACAGATAATATCGATCACACATTGTTTCAGGAATATATTTTAACACAAAGTTCATTCGATCTTCATATACATTAGGTCTTTGCATTGAAAAGAGTGTTCATGAAACAATTGAACATTTGAAGCAAATCATTTATTTACAATGGGAATAATATTGACGTTTTACTTTGTAATAAACAGAACTATTAAAGGGTATGAATACTTGATGAACATAGCATTCACATCCTATTCTCGATTAATCATTTTTGAATGATTTTAATTTGGTAAATGAATGAGAGATATGTATAAAATCACGTTAGGCCTACATAAATTATAGTAGTTGCGTATGAATAAGTAAAATGAAATATTTTTTGAAAAGAAATTGTTTATGAAAGATGTTGGTTAAAAGAAAATAGATTGTTTTGTTGAACTATTATATGATATTATGTTTCTTTAAGTAACTGTTATTATAGTCAATACTGAAGAGTAGTTTTGTAAAGAAAAAACTAGCTTTTTCTTTTAGAAAAAAATTAAATGAGGGTTTGAGTGCCCACCGAATAGCCCCTTGATTGTAACCTGTTAGAAAACCTGAGAATTTCTCACCCACACCCTCAAGATGACTTGTTGTCCTTGTAAATACATCTAAATTTTCAATACCTTAAAATTTGAATATCATGATTCGGGCGCGCTTATTGGTAGACCATAGATTTGACCCGAATATAATTATTAAATATCAGCTGACATTAGAAACAGTTACATTGTTAGAATTGTAAAATCTATTTGAAAATTTTGACTTTGAATATGACTTACAAAATCAAATCGTCTCAGATAATAAGTAGATCTCTCCAAAGAATATACAATAAACACACATTGTTTCTAATAACTCAAGGAGATATGAAAATAAGACTATTTTCTAACATATTACTAATGAGAATTGTTAAACTAAATCTAGGATACAACTAATCTTTAAGTAAATTGACACTAGAACAGTATCAGACGATACTAAAGGAATAAGTACATATATTCATGAACTTTGAATTTCTTTTTTATAAAAAGATATTTTACTATTTCAAATCTTTTTTGTTTATAGTTATATCAGAGAAGATTATTCAAAAATAGTATAATATTACAAAAATTTTACAGATACAAAACTGTTCATCTTAATTATATCAAGAATAGAATTACGATTCGATAACTTTCAAAATTTGTTTTTCTTTTCCAATAGCTGACAATGATATTAGCAAAATAAAACATACTGCAACAGATCAAATTCCTTAAGACTAACCATTGAGTCTTCTTAGGAAAAAAACGTCAAAGAATTCTATCATATCAATATTTTGGTTATTTTCTTTCTTTATTTTATTAAAAATTGAATAAAAGAAATGACTCATCATACTAATATGTTGAAAAAAAGAATCTTTCATCGTTCATCTTCAAATGATCTTGTAGTTTGATCGATACTTTGTTGTTGTAAAGGTTCAATTCTTTGAGTATCTAACGTATAACAATCAAGATTAGTCAATACCAAGTGACTCAAAAAGTTCGTTACTTTGTTGTTTTGCAAGGCTACAGCGAAGTGTTGTGCTCCAATATCTCCAATTTGATGCGATTGAAGACTAAGTGTAGTAAGTGTCTAAATCAAAAAAAGTATCATCAATAAAAATAAATTATATTAGCTAAATAAATGACTCGATTATTTTGTAGGGCATTCGCTAAAAATTCTGCTCCAATATCACTGATTATATTCGTTTTCTTATCACCATGGTCATCATCATAATAATAAGAATCGAGTATTAGTTTGGTGAGTGTCTATATGTTAAATAATAAAAATAGGTAATACTGAGAGTAAATAATCACTTTGTTGTTTTGCAAAGCATCGCCAAGATATTTAGCCCCAATATCTTTAATTTTATTTTTTGAAAGATCAATCGAAGTGATTGTCTATTCAAACCAGAATGATTATTACAGGTCAAATCAGTCAAAAATATTTCTTACCTCATTGTTTCGTAACATATCAGCCAAGTATCGTATTCCAATATCACTTATATTATTTTCCTGAAGGTTCAACTCAGTGATTGTCTATATCACAACAAAAAAATAATCATTAGTTAGACTAGATAACAAAATATGTTACTATGTTGTGGTATAATTCATTTGCCAATAGTTTTATTTCATTGTCTCCATATTCTTTCCATAGAAGATCTATACTGGTGAGTGTCTGTCAGAGAAAAAGAAAACATTAAGTAAAAAGTAATTCAATTTTAAAAGACCTTATCATTTCGTATTCCAATTGCTGTTCCAACTGCTTCACAATATTTACTCCTATTCCCTGTTAGTCTCAGTTTTCTCATTGTCTGAAAGAAAAAGAAAATTAGTTAAATGGAAGACATCATCTTATAAACGAACTTTGTTGGTTTCCAATGAATTAAATAGTTGCTGTGCCCCAATATCTCCAATTGCATTGCTCGAAAGATCAAGTGTAACCAGTGCCTGTTGAAACCAAATAATATTAATAAAAATAATGAAATAAGTAAAAAAAAACATTTACAGTATTGTTTCGTAGCATATCAGTTAAATATTGTACTCCAATATCGCTTATTTCGTTATACGACAGATTCAATTCACTGATTGTCTATGTCACAAAGAAAAAAAATCATTAGGATAAATAAATCTGGAATAAATTTTACTTGATTCGTTTGTAATACATCACTTAAATATTTTGTTCC